CTGATCAACGGGGGCAGGGGCTGTGGAAGGGCGACAGGGGCTGAGGAAGAGGGAATGGGCTGAGCAAGGGGACATGGGCTGAGCAGGGGGGCAGGGGCTGAGGAGTGGGACAGGGGCTCGGGAAGGAGGACAGGGCTGAGGAAAGGGACAGGGGAGGAGCACAGGGGCTGAGCAAGGGGGCAAGGGCTGCAGAGGGGGACAGGGGCTAAGGAAAGGGACAGGGCTGAGGAAATGGGGCATTGGCTGAGTAGGGGGACAGGGGCTGAGGAAAGGAAAAGGGGCTAAGGAAAGGGAGAGGGGCTGAGTAGGGGAACAGGGACTGAGTAGGGGAACAGGGGTTGAGGAAGGGGGGAAGGGGCTTAGAAAGGGGACAGGGGCTGAGGAAGGGGAAGTGGGACAGGGGCTGAGCAACGGGGGTAGGGGCTGTGGAAGGGCAACAGGGGCTGAGGTAGAGGGAAGGGGCTGAGCAAGGGGACATGGGCTGAGCAGGGGGGCAGGGGCTGAGGAGTGGGGCAGGGGCTCGGGAAGGAGGACAGGGCTGAGGAAAGGGACAGGGGAGGAGCACAGGGGCTGAGCAAGGGGGCAAGGGCTGCAGAGGGGGACAGGGGCTAAGGAAAGGGACAGGGCTGAGGAAAGGAGAGGGGCTGAGTAGGGGGAGAGGGGCTGAGTAGGGGAACAGGGGTTGAGGAAGGGGGGGAAGGGGCTGAGAAAGGGAACAGGGGCTGAGGAAGGGGAAGTGGGACAGGGGCAGAGCAATGGGGCAGGGGCTGTGGAAGGGCAACAGGGGCTGAGGTAGAGGGAAGGGGCTGAGCAAGGGGACATGGGCTGAGCAGGGGGGCAGGGGCTGAGTAAAGGGACAGGGGCTGAGGAGTGGGACAGTGACTCAGGAAGGGGGACATGGGCTGAGTAAGGGGACAGGGCTGAGGAAAGGGACATTGGCTGAGGAAAGGGACAGGGGCTAAAGAAGGGGGACAGGGACAGAGCAAGGGGACAGGGGCTGAGGAAAGGGACAGGGGCTGAAGAAGGGGTTGAGGAAGGAGGACAGGGGCTAAGTAGGGGGATAAAAAAACACTAAAAAGTGTAGTCCTCCCTCTGTGAGGCTTACCTTGGGCCAGGGAAGGGTAGGACAGGATCTGGAGTAAGTCTGCAGTTAGTGAGGTCGGCCGGCCTCTCCTGATGATATCAGGAGGAGGGGATGGGATTTCTGCTGCTCTTCTCCCAGACTCCCTAGCAGTCCTGGGAGAAGAGCAGTGGAAGTCATGCTCTTTCCTCCTGACATCATCAGGAGAGGCGGGCCGACTCCACTGGCTGCAGGCTGCAAGGAGAGACAGGGGGACAGGGAAAGAGGCACAGGGACTGAGTAGGGGGAGAGGGGCTGAGTAGGGGAACAGGGGTTGAGGAAGGGGGGGAAGGGGCTGAGAAAGGGAACAGGGGCTGAGGAAGGGGAAGTGGGACAGGGGCAGAGCAATGGGGCAGGGGCTGTGGAAGGGCAACAGGGGCTGAGGTAGAGGGAAGGGGCTGAGCAAGGGGACATGGGCTGAGCAGGGGGGCAGGGGCTGAGTAAAGGGACAGGGGCTGAGGAGTGGGACAGTGACTCAGGAAGGGGGACATGGGCTGAGTAAGGGGACAGGGCTGAGGAAAGGGACATTGGCTGAGGAAAGGGACAGGGGCTAAAGAAGGGGGACAGGGCTGAGGAAGGGGGAGAGGGCTGAGTAGGGGGACAGGGGTTGAGGAAGGAGGACAGGGGCTAAGTAGGGGGATAAAAAAACACTAAAAAGTGTAGTCCTCCCTCTGTGAGGCTTACCTTGGGCCAGGGAGGGGTAGGACAGGATCTGGAGTAAGTCTGCAGTTAGTGAGGTCGGCCGGCCTCTCCTGATGATATCAGGAGGAGGGGACGTGATTTATTCTGCTCTTCTCCCAGACTCCCTAGCGGTCCTGGGAGAAGAGCAGTGGAAGTCATGCTCCCTCCTCCTGACATCATCAGGAGAGGCGGGCCGACTCCACTGGCTGCTGGCTGCAAGGAGAGACAGGGGGACAGAGCAAGGGGACATGGGCTGAGTAGGGGGATAGGGCTAAGGAAAGGGACAGAGGCTGAGGAAAGGGGACAGGGTTGAGGGAGGGGGCAGGGGCTGAGGAAAGGGACAGGGGCTGAGGAAGGGGACAGGGGCTGAGGAAGGGGGACAGGGGCTAAGCAAGGGGACAGGGGCTGAGGAAGGGGGAGAGGGCTGAGTAGGTGGGACAGGATCTGGAGTAAGTCTGCAGTTAGTGAGGTCAGCCGGCCCCTCCTGATGCTATCAGGAGGAGGGGACGTGATTTATTCTGCTAATCTCCCAGACTTCTTAGCGGTCCTGGGAGAAGAGCAGTGAAAGTCATGCTCCCTCATCCAGACATCATCAGGAGAGGCTCGCCGACTTCACTGGCTTCAGGCTGCAAGGAGAGACAGGTAATATGAAAAGTCAGGAATCAGATTTCTGTGCCCCCCTTCTCTGGTGCCCTAAGGCGGCTGCCTGAGCCGCCTTATGGTCACGCCGGCCTTGAATAAGAGGTCAATAGCCCAACCACTTTTAAGGGGTTACTGCACCGGACCAAAGCCTTGTGACATGTCGGATAGCTATTTCCCGATGTCCAACCGCAGAGGCCTGTATTCCTCCCATCCTACGTGCACAGCGCCGTATGGCTAAAACCTTCCGTCCGGCTAGGCTGTGTACAGGGATATGACCCCAATTGTTGGGTGGCCCCAATGAATGGGAGCAGGCGTGAGAGCCATAACTTTGGCAATTATGCGACAGCTGTGGCGGTCTTCTGCTCCTCCATCTCCGTGAAGCCCTGCAACGTCCACATTGGTTGAAACTTCGCCATGCAGCATCGGCCAGCAGATCGGATCTGGAAGACCCTGACTTGGCATACAGGAGGAGCAGTAACCATGCGAGTGTTCAGCTTTGCCCAAAGGTTTGCACACAGCCTGTCAAAGGCGTGAAGGAGTGGGTCAACCTAGATCTTAAGCAGCAGGCCTCAATCACTCAAATCTTTGCAGATACCAATACTACTTATAGTAGACCACGAGAGCGTACTAGTTGGGACTGGGATTACCACTGCCGGTCTCAGAGATATGATAACATTATACAAATATATCCAGGGCCAATACAAACCATTGTGTGGAAATCTATTCACAAACAGGACTATATATAGGACACAAGGTAATGCGTTTAGACTGGAAGAAAGAAGATTTAGTCTAAGGCACAGGAAAGATTTTTTCACTGTAAGAACAATAAGTATGTGGCCTGAAGAAGTGGTTTTATCAGAGTCTGTACAGATGTTTAAACAGCAACTAGGTGCATACTTGCAAAAACAATATTCAATGATATAATTTTTCAATGTAGGGTAATAACTTCTTGATCCAAGGATAAATCTGGCTGCCATTCTGGGGTCAATAAGGTATTTATTTTTTTACCTAGTTTGTTGCACATTTGGAAGTGCTTCAAACTGGTTACTTAATCCACCAATCAGAGAGTTATGAGTCAAATTACACAGCGTGGGAAAGTTCTTTTGAATTTTCCCACGCTGTGTAATTTGACTCATAACAACACTCTGATAGGTGGATTAAGTAACCAATCATAGATTTATGAGTCAAATTACACAGCGTGGGAAAATTCCAAAGAACTTTCCCACGCTGTGTAAAATGACACAGAGCATTCTGATTGGTGGATTTCAAACCAACCAATCAGAGTGCTGTGACAGGTAAATGTAGAGATTTACCTGTCAGTCCCTTCATTTACAGGTCAGAGCACTCTGATTGGGGTTTGGGGACCCCTAGTCACCTGGGGGGGAGAGGGGTTACATTTGTATTTAGGGCCCCCACTCGCCGCTCAGGGATGGGGGCCAGGACATTAGGTCCCCCCATTTGTATTTAGGGCTCTCACTCACCGCTCAGGGGTGGGGGCCAGGGAGGAGGACATTAGGTCCCCCCCCCCAATTTAGTATTTAGGGCCTCCATCCACCACTCAGGGGTGGGGGCCAGAGGGGAGGACAACATTATTTTTAGGGTCAGGGGGGTAGGTAGGGGTTCATTTTTTGGGGGAGGGGGTGACTAGGGATTTGGGGACCCCTGGTGAGGCTCAGGGGTGGGGGCTCAGGAGGGGGGGGGGCTTTTTTTTTTATCAGTGAGCAGCCACAGGTGGTAACCTTGTGGGAAAATGTGTATATAAGAAGCAATAAAGCCTCAGTGCATTCTGTTCCTGTTTGACCCTCAACACGTAGTCTTGTCTCGTGATTGGAGGGGAACTGCTATAATCACACTGGGGATTGCTATACTTGTATTCTCCCCTGAGCTCTAATCACTTAGCTCTTTTAAGAACTGTTCCTGATACGCTCTCCTGGAGGAGAGGTCTTTCCCACACGGTGCTGGAGGACAGAGGCTGATCCAGGGTGGAAGGAAGATGGTGAGACTCCAGTTAGGCTATGGCGGTTATGGAGTCTGCGGTGGTTGTGGTGTCCGGTGCGGTGCTTATGGTCCTCGGCGCAAGCAAGGAAGCGTCCGTCAACAGAAGGTACTCGGTCGGAGTACAGGTGATCCATTACAGTTACTTAGACATGTGAGTGGGTATATAAAAACGAGTTCTAAAACATGTTGAGACTTGAGTATAAAAAAAGAAAAAGAAACAAATAGATTGCTAGGCAAGCAGATATGTCAGTATGAGATTAGTAGGTAACATTCCTAGTGGGTGTAATATGAAATTATAAAAATATAGAATTATAAAAATAAAATGGTAAACATGGTGGATCTAGTTAAGGAGCTTTGGATGAGATATCACATTAGCGGACTGAAAATACTTGAACTGATTGAAAATAAATGAACCGTCCCCATGGCGGGCATGAGACCTCGCAGAAGGGAACAGACTTGTGGTTAGCCAATGCCAGATCTTCCATGTCAGTGCAACAGGGAGTGAGTGTCCGCCAGGGCAGGCATCTGGACAAAGTCCATCAAGGCTTGTCGCTTGACTCTATGCTGGATTCCCTTGGGCTGCAGCCATACTAGGTTGAGTCTGCAACAGGGAGCGAGTGTACGCCGAGACAGGGAACTGGCCGAAGTCCAATAAAGCTTGCAGCTTAATTCCATGCTGGATTCTTCGGGGCCGCTGCAATTCAAGATGGATGTACGGTGAGTATGGAGTCAGCCCAATTACAGGAGTACCTCGCTTGGCGGCAGGATCTCTTGACACTGGTGGGAATAGTCGTTGTGCGGTGTTCCGACCCTTCTGTGCAGCAACTGTTGTCAGCTTGGCTGGATCCCCTGCACGGCATGGATGGTTGAGGGGATAGAGGAGAGATCTTCTGTCTGTCTGCGATGCGAAGCCAGAAGGCTGCGAACACATCATCAAGCCTCTAAGTAAGTGAGCATGGCAGTGCCGCGCCAGAAGGCCCACTTGCGGTCTCTGCCTTGTCCGGGGGTGGTGAGTCCACGGTGTTGCCATATAGTATCGGGACGGTTACCCGGGACCAGGATAAGCCCCACCGGTCCTTGGGGGGGGCAAGGGCCTAATGTCAAGATTCCATGCATGTATGGCGGGGGAGTGGCTGCCTCCTCCGCACCGACCACGCTTGTAGGCCGCACTCTGCCCTTGAGTGCATCCGTCAGGAAAATTAGCTTGTTTGGTGCCAGAAAGATCAGCGTAACTTCCCCTCTTGCCTTGTGGCCCTTGCTTAGTGTTCTAAGGCTGTGTTTTGCCCTTATTTTTTAGTTATTTGTAATGCAGAGCAGGAGCTGAAGCATCCAGCATCCCTGTTTTTGGGGGGTTTTTTAAAATATTTTTTCCCCTCCTTTTCTATTCTCCTTGCACTTTTGTTCTTTTAATGAAAATAAATCACACAGAAATTGGCGCATGTAATTTTTTTCACTGTCATTGTGAACGGCTAATGTCTTCATATTGTTATATCTGTTTCTGTGCTTAAATAAGGAATTCAAATATAAAAATACAAGGTTTATGCTTCATTATCTTTTGCATCATTGCACAGCTGCTAGGCAGCAGGTTTACAGAAAGCATCACCCACACCATGGTTGACAATGAGTTCTGTGCCCACATTAACATCGATAATGGTCCTCTGTGTACTACATGTCCTTTAAAGCAAAATCCATAGTTTTCTTCAAGGAAATGGAATTATAAAAAAATAAAAAAAAATAAAAAATCTAAGCTGTATCCCAGGGTTTTGAGTATTTAATATATGTGGCCAGCCTAAGGCACACCTGTGTAATAATAATGCTGTCTAACCAGCATCTTGATATGCCATGCCTGTGAGGTGGATGGATTATCTTGTCAAAGGAGAAGTGCTCACTAACACAGATTTATGAACAATATTTGAGAGAAATAGGCCTTTTGAGTACATAGAAAAAGACCTTTGAGTTCAGCTGATGAAAAATGGGGGCAAAAACAAAAGTGTTGCGTTTATAATTTTGTTCATTGTATATGGTTCTTTTTATTCCCAGGAAATTTTGGGGACCCCACACGCCTATATTTTTAGTCACAGTCTCATGGCCTTTTTCCTTTGCTCCGGCAGGTCTATAACCCTCATTCTGCTCAATACTCAGACTCTTATCTTCAGTCTCTAAAGTCACAAGTTTGATTACTCTTGGGCAACACACCCTTCTCACCCCCAAGCCATTATCTGTATTTCCTAGGTGTGTTTCCTACAATCCCAAGGTATCTAGCCAAAGTCCTCAAGGAATCTTTCCCATAGTTCGTGAACCAGATGTACTCTGAAATCTTACTCAGAAACGCAAAATCATTTAGCCACAAAACCCAGGTTTGTTATTCTTGAACCCAGGATTTGGGGTTTTTTTTTGTGTATTTTTACACATACACCCATGTTCCCCAAGTCTTTTATTTACAGTTTTTGGGTTTCTTCCTTTTTTTTTGCCTTCAACTTTTCCACCCCACTATGGTTTTCCCTCACTCATTTACTTCTCTTCTTCTCCAGTGTTTTCCTTCTCTATTCACTTTGTCTATTGTTCTTCTTCATTTCATATTGCATTCTTCTGACATTTCCATTATTCTCCTTTCTTCTGTTCCAAATTGTTTCATTGATCAACATTGTCTTTGTTGTCCCCGCTATTTCTTATGGTTTTCTCCTTTTTTTTATTGTTCAACCTCCTCTCCTCTGCATTCTCTTCTTCTTTCCCATTTTCTTGCTGTCTCCCAGGGGCGTACCTAGAGCATTTGGCACCCGAGGCGGGTCTTATTTTTGGCACCCCCCCTCCTCCCCACCCAAATAAGGTGCTATCTGCTAAACAGCACCCTCATTTGGTATCTTTAAATATGGAAATCTCACATACGGGCACCAATTCAGGGAATTATCTACTAAACAGCTAAAGGATCAAGATTAAAAAAAAGCCCTTTTCTTATTTTCAGTTGTTTAGTAGAAAAAAATCCCTTATTTGTTATCCTTATGTGGGATTGCAATATTTAAGGACACCAAATAAGGGAGCTATCTACTAAACACATACACAGAGATACACACAATCACAAACATAATCACAGATATACACAAACACAATCACTGACCCACAATCACATACACACACAAACATTACATACATACACACATTTAATAATTAAGAGGTCCACCCAGCCTCCCTACCTTGCTCTAGAAGGGCTGGAGTGGATCATCAGTCCCTGGTGGTCAGTGGTTGCTGCTGGGATCTCTGTGCTCTTTCTGCACAGGTCCATCGAACGCCCTGTAATGACGCACAGGCCGCGATGACATCATATCCCAGCTGCCGGCTCACTGCAGGGCGAAGACCATCAGACACAGTCAGATGCACACAGTCCCACACACAGTCACTCACACACAGTTACAGGCAGACAGTCAAATATGCAGTCACAGGCAGACAGTCACACAAGCAGATAGTCACACATACACACAGAATCACAGGCAGACAGTCACACATACACACAACACAGTCAGAGACAGTCACACACACACACACACACAATCACAGGCAGTCATACACACATAATCACAGTCAGACAATTACACACACACAGTCACAGACAGTCACAGGCAGACAGTCACACACACAGGCAGACAGTCACACACATACACAGGCAGACAATCACACACACAAAGTCACACAGACAATCACAGGTAGACAGTCACACACACGCACACACACAGTCAAAGACAGTCACAATCACAGTTACACACACTTTCTCACTTACAGTAAGCTTGGGCTGGAGGAGGAGTGGATTCAGGTTCCAAACTCTCCACCAAGACCAAAGAACTGTCCAAGGATGTCAGGGACAAGATTGTAGACTAACACAGGGCTGGAATGGGCTACAAGACCATCGTCAAGCAAATTGGTGAGAAGGGGAAGGTTCAACATGGGGTTGCACTGGGAGAGGAGGGAACAATAGAAAAAGATAGTAATATATGGAGGAAATTAAAAAGTCTGAAAAAATAAGCAATGAGAAAACTTGTTTCTTGTAGTTGGCTACCAGGTTTGCATATCTCAGGAGGGATTTTGTCCCACTCCTCTTTGCAGATCCTCTCCAAGTCATTAAGGTTTTGAGGCTGACGTTTGGCAACTCAAACCTTCATCTACCTCCACAGATTTTCTATGAGATTAAGGTCTGGAGACTGGCTAGACTAGACAGCCACTATAGGTATAGTTAACCTTGCAAGGTAATTATTGCCGTTTCTCAATAACTGCAATAACTAATTACAATTGCAGAGTTAAAGAAACTGGGACACTGCACCCAGAACACTTTAATGAGATTAAGTGGTCTGGGTGCCTATAGTTTCCGTTTAAGTTATAGTGGTTCTGGTGAGTATAGTGTCCCACTAACAATTACATTTTTGTCATTGAAAATATAACTTAGTAAGTTTAAAAAAAAAAAAAAAAAAACCTGGCTCCTAACTTTTTTAGTTGGCTCCTTGATTCCAAACAAATTTGTCAAGCTCTGTATTATCAAATTGTTTTGGGTCAGCCCTGAATACATATTTACACACTATATGGGACATTTCACTGGGATTCTCTGAGTTTTTTTTGCAGAAAACAAGCAAAGACTACACACACGCTTGGTTGGGCCTAATGCAGCAAAACAGCTAAGTGCATCTCTGAGTACAAAGTGATTTTGCTGAAATATGACTAAATGTATGAAGCGCATATATACATGTATTAGTGGGATATAGGAAATATGAAATAAATAAATGTATGTCTCTTTGCCAGCTGCACCCACCACCGATTAATAATCTCTGAATATTTGGAATAGAGATGGGCAAAAACAGGTCAGCTCAGGGGAAAATAACAAATTTGTTTTTCTGTATCCACAATAATACTGTGGCTGTAAAAGGGCAGCATGAAATGTTTTAGCACAGCCCACAAGTGCCCTATTTAATCAGTCTGCAAAGTAAAAGCACTTATAAGAACAGGAGTAACCAGGTGTTCAGACACAAAGTCTTTTTTGTGATTTGTTCCCTAAACAATGTGGGAGGACAGAAATGTCCAAGTTTGATTGTGCCCTCTCTAGTTCCTAAGGTTTAACTATTAGTATTATTTAAGTTTTTACGTTTTAATTTTTTTTTCCAGATATTTAATAAATTCAACTGAAGATTATATGGATATGGGTATTATTAAAACACCACTCCAGGCACTATAACAACTGCATCATGATTAAGTTGTTCTGGTGCAAGGAGGTCCAGGGCGCCTTTTTTTTTTTTTTTTTAATCTTAAGGAGTTTAAATATTAATAATTTTGGTTTATGCCAAAAATCTGGAAGATGGTACCTGATTTCACTGCCCGGCCCCTACCACTTATGAACGTCTGATTCTTCAATCAGAAAGACATGGATCAGACGCCGCAGTTAGGCTAGCGGTGTCAGCAGCCTATCACTAACTCCCCATTCAGAAAATTGGGTGAAAAAGATATGTGCCTTTTTTTACTCATGTTTCTTAATGAGGAACTAGTGATACGCTGAGGTGATCAGCTGATGCTCACAGCCTATCAGCAGTGCCCGGATAACAGAAAGCGGAGATTTTGTTTAAATCTATTTTTTTTTTTTTAATTCAAGGTTTTTATTGTTTTCAAGTTATAAAAAGGGGCTATAGGGGTACAGAAAGGAAGAAGGGTTGGGGGGGGGGTAACAGGGTCTTAAGACCAGTCGTCCATATTATCCTTGTTATAACAGAAAGAATATCATTATTTGACGTGGAATTACATGACAGTCATATTGTACATTATGAGCAATAAACAGAACAAGGTTGAGTTTACAGTTAACGTTTTACAGCGTGTGTACCAAGCGGTACCGCCTTCCTGGTCTCGTTTTCGTAGAGATTCTTTACCTTAATTTTTACATATAATTTGGGGTAGGGTACAGAA